TCTTACAATAATCTAAAAGAGAGGTGATGGTGACTTGGACTGGGGGCGGGGGGGTGGGCGGGTGGCAAAGGAGGGGGTGAGAGGTGGCCAGATTCCAGAGATACTCTGAAGGTAGAGCTGACAAGATTTGCTGGTAAGTCAGATAGGGTGCGAGATAAATAGTCAAGGATGACTTTAAGGCTTTTGGCATGAGCAACTAGAAGTACGGAGTTGACATAACTCAGATGGGGATGATATGGGAAGTACAGGTTTGGGGATTTGAGAGTTGAAGAGTTTTTACAAAGGGATTTGAGAATTCATAAGTAGAACTACCCTACAATCCAGCAATTGCGCTACTCTGTATTTACCCAAAGAATACAAAAAAATACTAATTCAAAGGGATACATGCACTCCAACGTTTATAACAGCATTATCTACAATAGCCAAATTATGGAAACAGCCACTGACTGATGAATGGATCAAGAAGATGTGGTGTGTGTGTGTATATATATATATATATATATATATATATATATATATATATATATATGTATATATATATATATTCATGTGTATATATATATTCATATCTATATCTGTATGTGTATATATATATTCATATCTGTATCTGTATGTGTATATATATATTCATATCTATATCTATATGTGTACATATATAGATATGGACTGCTCCTTAGCCATCAGAAAGAATTAAATTTTACCATTTGTAATGACATGGGTGGAACTAGAGAGTATTATGCTAAGCGAAGTAAGTCAGAGAAAGACAAATACCTTATGCTTTCAGTCATATGTGGAATTTAAGAAAGAAAACAAATGAGCAAATGGGAAAAAAAAGAAACAGGGAAGCAAACCAAGAAACAGACTCTTAACTATAGAGAAGACACTGATGGTCACCAGGGGGGCGGTGGAGGGGGATGGCTGAAATAGGGGATGGGGATGAAGGAGCGCAGTTGTTGTGATAAGCACAGTGTTGCGGGTGTTGTATGGAAGTGTTGAATCACTATATTGTACACCAGAATTTAATAGTACACTCTTTGTTAACTAATTGGAACAAAAATAGAAATTTAAAAATATATTTAACACCCCCCCCAAAAGAAAGAAAAAAAAAAAAAGAGGCAAAGATCACTTTCAGTTGGAAGGAGTAGAAGTAGGATCAGGGAAGGTTTATGGAGCTGATGAATGGGGCAGAGGGAGGTAGGATGGTTTGACTATATAAAGTCACAAACTGGGGCGCCTGGGTGGCTCAGTCGGTTACGCTGCCTTCCGCTCAGGTCATGATCCCAGGGTCCTGGGATCGCGCCCCATGTCAGGCTCCCTGCTTGGTGGGAAGCCTGCTTCTCCCTCTCCCACCCACCCCTGCTTGTGTTCCCTCTCTCGCTCGCTCTCTCTCTCTCTCTGTCAAATAAATAAATAATATCTTTTTTTTTTTAAAAAGTCACAAACTTTGTTCTCTTTCCTCACTGTTACTAATTCAAAGTTAAGTTGGCTACTTTCTTCTGAGATTTTCGTCACTTTCGTATTCCTCCAGTCTCACTTCTGTTGCACTATCTATTCATGAGTAGGTCTCAGTTGATGTTAAACCCTGTTCGCATGAAAAATTTCAGTTTGATTATCTTCGTCCCCTCTATTTTGTGTATTATATAGAGACAGCTGAAGACTTAAGATGGGTCTTGAACTGCTACTCCTGTCTTGTCACTTGAAAACAACATTATTTCTCCAGGTCACATATCTTGTCTACTATAGTGTTCGGTTTGACCAGGTTTTTTTTTTTCTTCCTGAATCCTTTCAGAACTCAGTTTCTTTATTTGAGGATATTTTACGCACAATGTTACATTAGTTTCAGGTGTACAACATAGCGATTCCACAAGTCTATACATTATGCGGTGCTCACCACATGCATCGCTACCATCTGTTTTCATACATCGCTATTACGATGTCGTTGGTTATATTCCTTATGCTGTGTCTTTTATTCTTGTGACTTACTCCTTCCGTAATTGGAAGTCTGTATCTTACACTCCCTTTCATCCATTTGGCCCAACTCCTCACACACACACACACCCCCCCCCCCGCCTTCCCTCTGTCAACCATCAGTTTGCTCTCTGTATTTAGAATTCTTTATCAGTTTGATGAACCTCCTATAAATTAACACACTGTAAAAGTCATTTGCAGATAAGCTCTTTGTCCTTTGCCAAGAGATGTCTAATTGTTGTATTATAAAGCATGTTCCAAAACTTTAATTAGCAAACTCACAGCATCTTTCTGTTTCCTGTACGCTCCCTTGTCAGACAAAAGTAACCATCCACTGGAATAAGAGAGGAAAACACTACCTGCATCCCTGAGTTTTTAGTTTTCTGCCTGACAGTATTCACGATTGATTGTGATAAATCAGGAGAGATTAGAGAAAAGGAAACCACCTAAGAGGCCATTAGATAGACGATCCAGGAAAATAGTTAAGAATACAGAAAGAGGCTCGGCCCTGCACATATCTCCCAGTCCTCCCAGGCTGAGTCCTGGGATCATGTTCTGCTGTTACTCATTATCTCCAGTGCTTCTCTGTGGCCTTTCCCATGGCTTTCCTTCCCGGCTAGCCTGTGGCCTCGTGAAGCTCTCTGTTTCAGTCGGTTTGAGCCGCTACAACAAAATACCGCAGACTTGGCAATTTATAAACCACAGACATTTATTTCCCGTAGTTCCAGAGGCTGGCGGTCCAAGATCAAGGCACCAGCAGATTCGAGTTCTAGCGAGAAGCCCTCTTTCTGGTTCACAGACAGCTGTCTTCCCACCATGCCCTCGCGAAGCAGAAGGGATAGGAGAGCTCTCCGGATCTCTTTTATAAGGCCGCTAATCCCACTCCTGAGGGCTCCACCATCACGACCTAATTATTTCCCAAAAGCCCCACTTCCTAGTACCATCACTCTGGGGATTGGGTTTCAACATACGAATTTTGTGGGGACTCAAACATTCAGGTCATAGCATTCTCCTTGGCATTTATTTCTTATGTGCCACTTGTGTTACCTGTTCACCTTCCTGCTTGTCCACCTCTCTATTCCAATCCCCCTTTTTTAAAAAATTTTTTACATCAATTCAGTTAGCCAATATATAGTACATCATTAGTTTCTGGTGTAGTGTTCAGTGATTCATTAGTTGCGTAGAACACCCGGTGCTCATCACATCATGTGCCCTCCTTAAGGCCCATCACCCAGTTACCCCATCCCCCCACCCACCTCCCTTTCTACAACCCTCAGTTTGTTTCCTGGAGTCAAGAGTCTCTCATGGTTTGTCTCCCTCTCTGATTTCCTCCCGTTTAGTTTTCCCTCCCTTCCCGTATGATCCTCTGCACCACTTCTTACGTTCCACATATGAGTGAAACCATACGATAATTCTCATTCCCTTTTGAAACTACAGAGGTGACTCTGAGAATTGTTGACAGCATGTGTGCCTTAGAGGTACTGTCTTTCATCGCATGTTCCTGGCCCAAATGCCACTTTTGTACTGCTTTCAGACTGGGAAACCAGACCTGAGACTAGGATAATCAACTTCCCAGCAGGACATTTTTGAAGAAGATTTATCCCAGGGAGCAACAACAGACAGACTAACAGGGAATGGTCCCCGGAACTCTGTGTTACACGAGACTTGGGGACGTGAGGACCACTTAGAGAGACATTCAGGACAAGGAGCCGTATTGAACAAGAGCAGCCTCAGGGAGGTCACTACCTATACGTGCAGTGCTTTCAAGGGATGCTTCAGACTGCAGCCAATTCTGGTTTCACAGTAGGGAATGCCTACAGGAGAAAATCTCCTTACATGTGATCCACATGTAGGAAGTCTGACATCACATTTAAACCTGGTTATTCAGCAGGGCTTCTGTGTGGAAAAGAAACTGTGGCAATGTAGTAAATGTGGGAAGTCCTTCTGTGACTATTCCACCTTAATTGGGCATCAGGACATTCACACTGGAGAAAAACCCTCTATATGTAAGGAATATGGGAAAGTCTTCATCCAGAGATCATTTCTCACAAAGCATCAAAGATCTGACGTAGGAGACAAAACCCTTTACATGTAGTGAATGTGAGAAAGCTTTCAGCCAAGAGCCCATCATTGACCACCAGAGAATCCACACAGGAGAGAAGCTCTGTCAGTGCAGCGAATGTGGGAAGGCTTTCAACAAGAGCCCACGCCTGACTCACCACACACACATCCACAGTGGGGAGAAGCCCTGTGAGTGCCGTGAGTGTGGGAAGACCTTTAAAGATGCCTCCTTCCTCACTCATCACATACTGATCCATACAGGAGAGAAACCGTTTAAGTGTCTTGACTGCTGGAAAACTTTCAGTGGCCTTTCAGGGCTTGTTCGGCACAAGAGAATTCACACTGGGGACAAACGTCGTTCATGTCATGAGTGTGAGAAAACCTTCAGCCAGAGCTCATCCCTAATAAAGCATCTGAGACTTCATACAGGAGAAAAATCCCTTTTAAGTGCAGCGAGTGTGAGAAAACCCTCAGCAAGGACTCATCTCTTATTCACCATCAGGCAGCTCATATTGGAGAGAAACCTTTCTGATGAAATGAATGTGGAAAAGCCTGCAGCCAGGGCGTACACTTGACCAAACACCTTTGAATTCACACCACAGAAAAGCTGTATGAGTGTAACGAATGTGGGAAAGCGTTTACTCCGAGCTCATCTCCTATTGACCACCAGTAGATACTCACTGGAGAGAAGCCCTCTGGCTGTCGTCTTGAATGTGAGAAGACCTTCAGCAAGAGCTTATCTCTTAACCGGCACCCGAGGACTCACACTGGAGAAAAGCCATACGAGTACAGCGAGCGTGGGAAGGCCTTCAACAAGAGCATGCTGCTGACCCAGCACACGTGCATTCACACTGAGGAGAAGCCCTACAAGGGCAATGAGTGTGGAAAGGCCTTCAGCTGCATGCAGCACACACCTGACGCAGCACCACAGGATACATACTGGAGAGAGACCCTAAAAATGCAATGAATGAATGTGGAAAGGCCTTTGCTGATACCTCATCCTTTTCTAGACATCTCTTTGTTCGCACTGGAGAGAAGCCCTATAGATGTGATGAATGTGGAAAAGCCGTTAGTGGCCCCTCAGGGCTTATTCAGCATCAAAGAACACACACAGCAGAGAAGCCCTATAAATGCACAAAACGTAGAAAAGCCTTTAGTAGAAGTAAACACCTTACGGAACACCAGGGAATTCACGCTGGAGAGAAACCCCACACAGGTAAACAATGTGGTAAAGCCTTCAGCCAGAGCTCACACCTTATAAAACATCTAAGAACACGCACTGGAGAGAAACCCTATAAATGTAAGGAATGTGAAAAAGCATTCAGCCAGAGTGCCTCCCTTACGCCTCATCAGAAAGTTCATAATACGAGAAAGCCCTATGAAAACTATAATTCCTTTACTGAATCCTCGGCCTTTTTTTCAGCACCAGAGTATTTTGTTATGTTATGTTAGTCACCACACAGTACGTCATTAGTTTTTGATGTAGCGTTCCACGATGCATTGTTTGTGTATAACACGCAGCGCTCCATGCAATTCGTGCCCTCCTTAATGCCCATCACCAGGCTAACCCATCCCCCC